TTACGGTTTATGTTACCTGTCCATTCAAATAATGCCAAGTTCGTGCCGATCGAGCATTGCTATGCAAAATTATGGTTTGTGAGAACCCTTCTGAAAAGTGCAAAAAAATTTGCCGTTTTGCGCATTTTTTCATTTCTTCTCGATTTGCCAGATAAAGCTGGTATCCTTCCGTTGTTAGAAAGGAATGTGTCAAGTGAAAAAATTGCTAGCTTATCCAACAGCTTCGTAAGATTTGCAAACATTTCCCTTTCATTGGGAAGACTTGTGTTTATGGCATTCGCTATTCCCATAAAACTGACAGCAAGCAACAGGTGTCGAAGCCAAAGACAAGGCTGACCAAGGCTGTTGTTCAAGTAGCAGACGTAGTTTTCATTACTTTATGTAAGAGCTAAAGAAGATAAGCATAAAGTACAAGGCAAGGGCAATAAATCACGAAAGAGGATATGTTTATGCAAGGTTTTTTGTGGTACATTAATCAACGAGAAACAGACACTACAGGACTGCATTTATCACCAGTGATAAAAGGGCAGAGAAGAGTTGTGTGCGGAATTGAGTGACTCCTCGACAACTTTGCAAGTTTTGGCAGATTTCCAAAGTGCTTGAATGCAAAAGACAAGTGCTCAACAAGTTCATAAAAATCACGAAAAAATACGTATTGTTTAAGTCCAAAAAGGTACTCAAATATGGTACTCATTTCCTGTCATAGCGCTTTGAGATTTATTCATGCAGGGGTGTGCAACATATTTCAGGACAACATATTTCAGGACTCAAGTTTCGATCAATGTACTCGACGAAAATTTATTCGAAATTCTATTATTCGAACAAAACCTTGAACACTCTCGATATTCGCTTATTCGAAATTTGTCATTTTCGGACTCGATTAATCGTTATTCGACATTTGAAAATATTCGATATGTTGATTCGACATTTTTGATTTTAGAAGATATTTGATATTCGGATTCTCAACTTTTTTTAGAAATCCGAAATTCAATTATTCGATATTTTTGATTTTCGACTATATGGTTATTCATTCGAAGAATTCGGAATACTCTAAAGTAGAGTGTGTAGCGCATAGTCATTTTGTGTATTATTCATAGAATAATTGGTTTTGTATGTACATGAAAATACTAAACAGTCGTAAAGAGAAAGTGAAACCTAGGTAAAGAGTGCAATGGAGCGCATAAGTGTGTACTGTCCCAATAAATCTGAGTTTGTGGGTTTCTATGGAAAGAGCAAAAACCCTCCAGTTGAGCTATGCCCAAGTGGCAGCTAGTACTATCCTGATGCTCTAAAATTCATCTTTAAACTCCAGCCCAAAATTCACCGTACTCGGGGGCGCCGATTGAGTGAGTATTCCCAGCTAGAGTGAAGCTGAAGTCTGCGCCCAGGAATAAATCGTATGAGCCTGAGGAATGTTATGTCATAAATGCGTATTTGTTATCATAGTGCTTTGTTTCAGGGAAAAATTGCACTTATGCGATTCGGAGAAGGGTTCCGAGGAGATAAAGTACACAAAGCGCAGAAAAATGGTGCTGCTGGTGCAATAATATTCTCTGATCCGGACGACATTGCAAGAGATGGCACTGATCAATGTAAGGGGGGTTTTGTAAAATTACTGAGAAATTTAGTTAACATTCAGCGCATGTATATCCAAACACGATATGGATGCCAAACGAAGGAGTTCAGCGTGGGTCAATTATGCATGGTGATGGTGATCCGTTGACACCTCTATATCCGTCAAAAAAAGAAATTTTTAAAAGTCGCACTATTGAGCAGGTTTGGTAAGAAAACCCCAACTTTAGGCAAATTTTTCTGCATTTGGAAAATTTAGGCAAAGGAAGACGGAACACTTCCAAGCATTCCAGTAATGCCCATTTCGTATAGCACAGCTTTTCAAATCCTTTCGCGGATGAAAGGTCGACCAGCTCCACAACCTTGGCAAGGTGACCA